AAAGGGCCTGTAGATGTAGGAAACACAGTTTGAGATCAGTCCTCACCTAGGCTACCACACATGTTCCCTAATATTTTCGGCGCCAATAAGGTTTGCCTTCTGCGTATGATTGTATCCAGGACCCTGTTATTGAGCTGTGTACCAAGGCTCTTTCTGATCCCTAATGTGAGCCCTAGGTGGATTCGACACATGACATGACTGCATCTTTCTATTGCGAAAATGTCTATTGCTTTTAGACAGTTTTATTTTCCCAGCAACTTTTAATGCAACTACTCAATGTAACCAAGTTATTTTTATTTCATTATTTATGCTGATTTAATTGGCATTCTCGAGCCAAACTCTTTACTGGGACTTGAGCTTTGGGCGCTATTAGGCCGTTTGCACTATCCAAATTGCCTGTGTTATCAACACCACGACACCTTGATAACGAATAAAAAACCTATGAGCATACTATCACTTGACTTTATGAAGTACATTTGGTCGGTTTGTTCTATTCACGTCATCTTCGAACATGCGGTTGGAGCTAAGGGACCAGGAGAAAGTGAAAAAGCATTCCAGACCACTCACCAACCTGGACACTCGCATTTGTGCCACATTCGAATCATGGGGACACACGAGTGATGGTCATCGCTTCATATGGCAGAGGCTCTGGCGCTCTCGCCAGCATGACATTTTATAGTATATTTTTCAATTGTTCATATTTGCAAAGCTCCCAAAAGCAAACATTAGTTACTTTCTACAGTTTATTGCCACATTTCCCTCATTTTTGGATAAAAACCTTGGCTTTCTCCCTCTCTTCTATCTACCGGTTGGTGTGTTAAAATGATGGCCGATGTGAATAACCACACGATCTGAGCATAGTATGCGTATAACAATCTCACCTAACCCTTGTATTAATATATGGATATGTAGCACTTGCATGTTATCCTCTTATTTTCCAATCTAGACAACAACATTACATGTTTTATGCATACTTTTTATTGCTATTTGTGCATACAAGTATAATCAAACTGATCGGTAAGGGACTTCCGGACTGTGTACACATCTAAAAGTTCCTCACTTGCTGAGTCGCTTTCGAACACTCGAATTCAATCACAGAAATTGCGACATATTTCCACACTGCCGAACCGGAGTCAACTCTGGAGGCAATTTCGGTGCAGGAAAACTGACCGATCTGGCCTTTGCCGGTAATCCCCATTGCCTCATCCTGAGTTCGTAAAAAGTAGAAAGCCCAGTTAAGAGGCTAGGCACGATCGCCATTGTTACAAAAATACGTATCTGGGAGAGGAAATCTTCTTTTCTCTTCCCAAAAAGAGGTCCGTCACGTCAGGACGTGCTGAAGCTGAGCCCGAATTCAAATGTCTCCTTGCAGGTCCACAGTCAAGCCTCTCTCGGTTGC